TAGCAGTATGCAATGCTTTAGCTAAAAAGACTTTTAGAGATTCTCTAAATCTCATTCAGGAAATACGCCTAGATATGGATATAAGATTCGCCAAAGTTCATGTATCCTGTGCAGCTGAACTGAGATTAGAGCCTAGCTCTCCTATCATGATGTTCTTTCTCCTAAACAGAAGTACAACAGAAAGAATAACGAGGAAATAACCACCAATCCTAGTGGTTAGCAGTGAATGATTAATGGAAATATTGGGTCATCTGCAAAGTCACAAGTATTTCTCTGTTTTTCTATGCAAAAATGCATCATGACTTTTCTGATAACCCAATATATCAACTCTTTTAATAGTATGGGCCAAAGAAACATATTCACTCTCAGATCTGTCTAAAATACACCACTGCTCTTCCTGATTATGTTTTGGGACTATGCGAACATGAGATTAACCACAATTGAGCATTATCTGGCTGACATCTATCTGTCTCTCTCTCTCCCTGCCCACCAACATATCTCATAGGCCATAATAATTCCATGTTAGTCTACCCAAAAATAAAAAGATGAACATTTTATTTCTTTTTAAAAATGTTTTAAGAGAGATTTTTGGTATAGGGCAGATGCACTCACTGGAGAGACAGAGAGGGACAGAGAGACAGAAAGCTAGAAATCACCCCCAGGGGGATGGACACATCACAATCCTTCTCTTCCATTCTCCTCTCAGGATCTTAGGCACATGTGCCTGGCGCGAATTTTAAGTTGCCAGGTCCGGGACTTGAATTGTGGTCGACTACATGGGAGTCCAGCTACGTAACCATTACTCGATCTTCTGTTCCCAAGATAAGTATTTTATTTCTAACAAATAGTACCATATTATTAGCATTTTTATTCCATTTTAGTGTCTAAACAGAGTTTTGTTTTTTACAATTACTCCAAGTTAAATAAGTAACATGAACAGTGTCAAAACCTTGTAAAGAGGATTAGCTGGCCTGTTATTCAATAAGGAGGACAGGAGAGAAAAGAAGGGCTGTATGTTTTCATGAAGTCAGGCTGCTTGGAGGGGGTTCTCTGTACAACTCCTGCAAAGGTGGACTCCCAAAGTGATGTTGTCAATGAGAAAGAATCATGCAAAAAGAAACAAGGAACTGCAAATAATTAAACAATTTTCAAAATTCAATTGATTATATATTTATTTGTTCATTTTAATTTTGCCAGAGGGCATGTGTGCTTACCACAGAGAGAGAATGTGATAAAGCATCTCCTTTGAGGAATGGTCATATTGTAATCCTTTCTCCTCTATTTCTCTCTCCTTTTGGGATTTTTGGCATGCATGTACATTGCCCAGTGTATTTGTCAAGCTGCTGGATCTGGGGCTGAAACCCATGTGAGATCCGGCTGCCTTAACCACACCACAGGCTGGTCCTATTTATTTGTTTCTTCAGAGAAAGAGACAGAGGCTCCCCCAAGAGGGTCCTCATGTCCCAGTCCAACCCGGTGCCTCAGCTAGCCAGGATCGTGGATACATATTCACGCCTGGTGTACACCGGAGTCATCAGGACTCTAACCTATAGCCTCCCACAGGGCCCCAGCATTGTAGGACATTGCAGTCTGCTGTACCATTGCAGATGGCCCTAAAAATCACTTATAAGACCACCTTTAGATGTCTAAACTGCTTAACAGTACTGTAAAATGAATTATTTTAGGTCTTGAAATTGTCACAACTGTCATTGGGAAAGTTATGATGTAATGTATTTTTCTACACAAAAATGCGTCATGACTTTCCC